TGTTTTATTAGAGAGATCTGATGGTCAGCAATGAGCTGATTTACTGAGGTCACTAGTAAAGAATGTCTGATACAACAGCTTATTAATCTTCATTCGCTCTGGGAGATCACAGCTGCACTTTATGGGCACTCTGACTTAAGGACACATGATATACTGCATATCAACTAGAGCATTACATTTGCTTTAGTTAAGTGCGCACATTAAACAAAATCGCTACTAGTCTTGCAGAAGATATAGAAGTGCAGCTATATTTAGTTGACTGGGTAAATAAGACATGAGTGAAGAGGAGAGTGTGGAGCATTTTAGGGGAAGTTGGGAAAAGGGTTCCCTCTTTTAGTTCTTGCTCAGTGCTGAGAAGATGTGCACTTTAAAGGGGCATGAAATAAAAATGGTCTCTCCTTATTGTAATACATCTTCCTGACCTAAACAGTTCATCGGTGCACGCTATTCCAAAGACAAATGTTTGTTTTGGAATTTTTCAAAATGAGACTGAACTTGCTTTCCTTTTTGGTTGACGTCACTAAAACTGCTTAAGTTTCAACCTGTGAGTGCGGGCAGGTGTTTCAGGAAGGGTAATAGTCCCAAACTTGATTGCAAAATCTAGTATGGATCATGTACAGTAGTATGGAACACTTACAACAATCCAGTCAAGTCCTGCCCTACCATTTTTTTCTCACTGAAGTATCACTAAATACATCACTTTACAGAAGTAAAATGGGTTTGCAAATGATGCTTCATTTTGACTTTAAGTTAGTTTTTACACTTGGATTGTTTGGTACACAGCAGAGTTTGATCCCCACAGATCCATCTCTCCCCATTATGTTCACCGAAGACAACAATGGGAAATGCATTATTTCACTATAAAAGGCAAACAGTTTATCAATATTGGTTAACAAATTAGGCTGGATTGCTTTCATACCAACTACGAACCATGACTACATGAACACACGACACAAGTTTCTCAAAACCACATTTAGACAAACCAAACCAAACTCTGACATCAAACTGACTGTGGCCCACACCAAACGTCTGAAAACAGCCTCAAATTGTACTTGGTTTGTGATCTTACCCTTGTGAAAAATAAGTACACTTTAGCACAGTTTTAAACAGGGTTATAATAGTAACTATAATAGTACTATAATAGTAAAACTAAAATTGAAAGAAAAAAAAACCTTTGTTACTAAACGTTAAATAAACAATAACTATATATATATATATATATATATATATATACACACACGCACAAATTTTTGCTAAAAATAACAAAAACACAACAAAATTACTAAAACTTTTAATTAAAATCGAAAATATGAAAATAAAAAAGACACAAAATAACTATAATATTATCTCAATGATAGTAAAATAACACTAAAAAAGGACAATTATATATGTAAATTATATACTTAAAAATATATATACTTTTAATTTTCGAACATTTAATTCAATTATAATTTTGATTAAATTAAAATATTTTTTAATTTCAAATTTCAAATTGATATTAAAAGCAATTAGCTGAACTTGATTCACTTAATTACATACGTTTCATAATTACTTCTATTGTTTTCTATTATCATTATGTTAAACATGTACTGCCAAATGTACTAATATTTGGGTAACACTTTACAGTAAGGTTCCATTAGTTAATGTTAGTTAATGTATTAACTAACATGAAGAAACAATGAACAATTCATTTATTAATCTTTGTTCATGTTAGTTAATGAAAATACAGTTGTTCATTGTTAGTTCATGTTAATTCACTGTGAATTAACTAATGTTAACAAGCACAACTTTTGATTTTAATAATGCATTAGTAAATGTTGAAATTAACGTTAACTAAGATGAATAAATGCTGTAGAAATATTGTTCATTCTTAGTTCATGTTAACTAAAGTAGTTAACTAATGTTAACTAATGAACCCTATTGTAAAGTGTTACCAATATTTGTAATTACACATTTGTAATGATTAAGTTGCAATTGAGTACATTCATAATATATTAATTAAATGCAATATTGAATAACGCACTAGAGTCAAAATTGTAAATCAAATTCTTTGTAAATCAAAGTACACTTATTTTTTTGTTGACTAAGCAGATGTAAATCACAACAAAAATTATTAAAACAATATTTTACAATACAGTACTTCAACATAAAACACTTAATTTGAGATTATACTTTTAAAAAGTGCACTTTTGTCATACTAAAGTGTTAAGAAACAGTAGTGAAAGTGTATGCTTGAGGCAACATGCAGTTTTTTGTAATGTCCTATGATACATTTGATGAAATATTATGTAAAATATTTGAAAATACTTCTTTACTTTCCAATGAAGGTGACTAAGATTTTTTGTAGGCAATTATATGCATGGAAATTGATGAAAAATGCACTTTTCATTGGACAAAATATGGAGTCATGTGACATGTGCACATGTCCTGAAAGTGGAAACAAAATGGACCCCTGTGGGTCATGTGACCACTTTTTTCTATGCTCATTTATTAGTATTTGACTTCTACTTCCCTGCATTGGTCAATTAAATGAGTGTCTCATTTTATAAAAAAAAAAACTAAAATATGTTGTGTTGCCTGGAGGCAACACGGTACCATAGAGGGTTAAAAACTCTCCTCCCATAAATTGTGTCTGAAAGGGACACTCCTATAAATGCATATGCAATAAGGTCAGTCGCAAAAATGAAAATGTGTCCACGCCTTTTCAGCGCTAATTTTTCAACGTGCCTCTTTAGTAAATCCTCCTGACAGTGATTATTTGCTTTGTAAATCTGTTGTTAGTAAATCTGGCCTTTACTGTAAGCAGCATTTCATTTCATTAATATTACATTATCTGCAGTACATTTTAAGAAAAATACTGCAAGTGCACATTCAATACATATTCATATGAAAGTAGTTTTTGGATCAGTGCAGAACATTTGCAATTATCTGCACACTACAGAGATTTATTGAAACGCTCACAGTGACAGTGCACTCAGTCAGTGACTGATTTTAATCATGTTCTGTCTCCATTTTCCAGCTGCCACAATGATCTGTGACTCTGCGGGTGTAAATGGCTCTATGCAATTCTTAAATCCGGATTTCAGGGGGGAAAAATTATTGACTGCTTCCTTTTAATACTGACGGTATCCATTATTATCTAGTGTGGACAATCCAAACCATCCATGCAGGACGTCTGAAGTCATCAGACAGTAATGTTGCTTGTTCAGAGTTTTTTTTTTTT